GAGATTTCAGCAGTAGCTTTATGATACTGGTAGGAACCTCCTGGTTACACCAGCCCACATGGGATTATTGTGTCCGTCCGTCCGTCGTGCAGGGAGGGGCTGGGTGGGGAGGGAGGGGCTGGGTGGGGAGGGTGGGGAGGGGGTGGGTGGGGAGGGTGGGGAGGGGCTGGGTGAGGAGGGTGGGGAGGGGCTGGGTGGGGAGGGTGGAGGAGGGGTGGGCTGGTTGGGAGGGGCTGGTCACCCCGTAGTGCCCTTATAAAACTCAACGTTTAACCTACTCACGCCGGCTTGTGCCCGCCCTCACAGTCGGGCATATTTGCGGAATACACCACGCCGCCGTTGACCCCTGGTCATTGACCGAGCAACCCAACGTTCCTGCCAGCTCCCTCCGCAGGAATGTGTTATCTTCTTGGGGAAGTTTCTGCAGACTGTAACATAAGATGCATGCGCACTGCTATATGATAGCTCCTTAATGTTGGGTTTATCGCCACATCGCAGACACTCTTTTCTGTATATATGTATACCATTTGCGACGAGGTGTGAGTGGGATTCTGTTCTTCATTTCTGTCCTACAATGGCCATTTAGTATCCATATGGTGCTCTTCACAAACAATGCACCGTCACTCCCATACCACTGAAAATGCATGGTGTGGCATAAAAGTTATCAAGAAACAATGTGACATTCATATTCTTAGGTTTTTTCGGTAAAGTCACGTAGGTAAAAAAAATTAATAAAAGTAAAATAAAATAAAAATCACGTTTCAGAGGCAACACAAGCTTCCGTCTTGAGGTGGAACCGTCACAGCCACGACAGCTGTATCAAGTAAATGAGAGATTACAAGAGCTACCACTCCGTATATATAATGGTTGGAGAGGGGGAAAGGGCCAAGTACGGCACACTTTTTATTAATATGGTAAGGTGAGGCTTAAGACTAAGAATAGATTGCATAACAAAAGGCTGAGCCTTTGTTATGGAGAGGTACGGTTTGTGACTACTTCCCCCCTCTCCAACCATTATATATACGGAGTGGTAGCTCTTGTAATCTCTCATTTACTTGATACAGCTGTCGTGGCTGTGACGGTTCCAACTGAAGACGGAAGCTTGTGTTGCCTCCGAAACGTCGTGATTTTTATTTTATTTTACTTTTATTAATTTAAATTTTTTACCTACGTGACTTTACCGAAAAAACCTAAGAATATGAATCCTTGCAGTCACGAAAACTTCAAATCTAGAATGTGACATTCCATAGGGGCTTTACGCCGTTGGAAATAGTTGGGCAGGCTGCACGCTGAATGTGATTGAGCCATTAGCTATGTGGGGAAATTGACCCCCCCCCCCCCCCCGCTGCTGTGACACAATGGAAAGCGCCGGTAAATGGGCCAGGTGCAGGTTGTTATCGAGCAGGCGTTGAGGGTGTATTTATGTAGACGATCCCATTGGCTGAGATGGAGATGAAGCTATACACGGGGAGGGGAGGGGGAAAAGAGGATGGCTCTGGCTCAGGGAGTCCAAATAAAAACAGATTTCACAGTGGTCCCTGTAGCTGTTGCGATTGCAATGTGGAGGATACGAGTCCCGTGGGGAGTGGCACCCCAGGCTGAGCATTTAACTCCGTCACTCGAATAGATATGTGGTTGACACGGATTGTGGCTGCAGGTTTTCTTCCTTTTTTTATAACAGCTGGCCCCCTGGTGCGAAGTTAAAGCAGCCTGAGAGAACACGTGGATGGCAATAATTATTTCGCAGGCACGGTATGACTCATGTACGCTGAGCGATGTGTTCAACCCTGTGTACTGCGATTGTTGCTGCGCTGAATTGTTAACCTTAAGTGTGCAGCGTTTACTGTAGTGTTGTGTGAATGTTGTTCCAGACGCCTTTGTGCGTCTTGACTATTGTGCTGTGACCGTGTGTTGGGTGGCTCGGGCGAGTACCGTCGTTGGATGTGTGTGGCTGTGCATCGGCTACATGGTGAGGACTGGTGGCGCAGTGGTTAGCGCATTGAACTCTCAAACCGGGTAACATCGGTGACGATTATCTGAACCGGTAGTGGGTATCCCCTCGGTTGTTTCTACTTCCTCCAATAAGTACCTGGTGTGGTGTTTAAACATCAGCAATGGGGAGACAAAAGCAACCAGGCGTGGTGCTGGCGTTATATTCGAATCCTGGTTTGTCAACCCAAATCGGTTCAAAATTATTATCGTGGGACTCAAATGAATACCGCGTTGTGGCAAATCGACAAGTTTTTTTTCTAATGTGTAGTCGGCAAAAACATCTGTGGAAAAGTGCTTCATTGCTCCTCGGATTGCTCCAGTATGAATACATTCTGATTCGATGTGTCCTTTTCCACCACTGATTTAGGCACACCTATAATAATGGACATCGTATCCCACTGCCGTGGCTTTATATAATGAAAGTTCAAATCAAAAGATGTCTTTTTTTAAGTTTGTGTTGCTTGTGTGTGCAGCCTTGCGTTGACCAGACTGACCGCATGACGACAAAATAAAAATTGCCCGCTTGAAACATGGCCCAGGTGGCTGTTTTTCAAGGGGCGCAGGGTTTTATTGTGGTTTATAAACTGGCGCAAATTAATTTTAATTGCTTTTTTATGCAGACTGGCAATCGTGACTGTAAACCATTTTGTTTATAAAGACGGCCATGCAGACAACACCAGAGGACCAATGAGCCCCATCTCTGCAATTTAATGACTTATTAACCACGAGGGCCCTTGCGCAAGATGAAATGGACACAAATAAAAGCAGACGAATGCCACCCACTCATCCGGCCCTCCACAACACGCACAAGTACTTTTACACACATCCCGTCGGCCTCACGACTTTCTGAGATCGAATATTTTTTTTCGGCAGCACAAAGTATCATCCGTCATGTGGGGAGGGGGGGGGGTCTTTCCACTGCTGGATGAATGCCTCCAATTTCACCTAGCCATTTATTTGTCAATTCCCCCCTCGTTTCCCGCGATGTCTCAATCCTTGGTGCTCGTCCCCTGTGGCCTCGTCCCCTGCTTTGGCTTCCATTCCGTCGCGAGTCTATATCTGCCATCGTCCCGCCTAGCCACGACGTGACCCTGCCCAAGTCCACTGGGTTTTTTTTCTTGTCTCAAGGGGTCAATGTACGTACGTTGAACTTCTTTCACACCGTGCGTAGCCAACCGTCATTTCCATCCGTTCCTCTTTCTGTGTCTCAATGTAATGTTGATCTTTGGATCGCCGCCTTTTTTCCCCCCAAGTACTCCCGAGGTCCAGGATCCCTTCCCGGGGTGACCCAGACAGCAGCTTGTGATGGATGGACGATGTTTATCACGTTGGAGCAGTGATGATGGATGTATCATTGATGGACGTGGATGGATGGATGCATGATGACGATCGATGATGACGGACGGTAACAACACGACACCCAAACAAAATCGGCTATATCGTTTGAATCCTCCTTTATTTGTCCACTTAATTGCGCAATGAACACTCGATGGGGTTTTACTGCAACACACCGACAGCTTGGGGAGGGGGGGGCACCACGGAAACGTTCACGCGCGCCTCGGAGTAAGATTCGCAGCTCGGGTAGATGACACGTGAAGATAGACGGGCAGACTTGTGGATAGGTGTACATGCAAACGGTAAGCTTTAACGTGTAGATCGGAGGTTTGGAAACCGTATTCTTTAATGATAATAAACAAATTGTAATGCGAGGTTTGTGTTCACCCTTTGAGAAAGGGACAATGAGTTCGTAGGTGGAAGAAAGCACACGCAAGCAGAGAGCCAGCCAGCCGCAACCGACGCTAACCAGTGCCTAAGATCTGTGGTCCTATATTGGGACGGTCGGACAATTCCATGAACGAGTGTTTATGCATGTGGGAGAAAACCCGCACGTGCGAGGTTGTGAGTAACACTCAATCGCCGAACAGATCAACTACAGATGGACATTATTCCACTTGCTGCACTGCCATCGCAAGATGGTGACCTGGATTTCCACGGGGAGGGAGTTTTACGAAATGTGTGTGATCCACGAACCCTCGCCTCCAAAGTGCTGGAACTACAGGCGCTAGGGTCGAATAGAACTTTCAAATACGTTTTTTTGTGGACGACCACACATTAACACACACACCGACACACCCCAGCCGCCTCTGCTACTGCCTGGGGCTCTTGTGCTTACAGATGTGACGGAGCGTGATGAAACCAGAAACACATCGCTGTTGCCATTTTGAAAATGTTCCCCCTTTAAGTCCTCCACAACTGGTACTGCCGAGACGCTTGTGGCGATGGATAGATGTCGCTTGTAGGCCATTCCGAAGTGGTAGGCGGCCCATGTGGCCACAGGCCACTGGCACGCAAGTATATGGACAGGAGAACATAATAGGCAGATGTGTGGATATGGATCCATGCAGAAAGGCAGGCAGACGAGCAAATATCGAGATACAGTATAAATGTTGAACTTCTTTCGCACCGGACGTAGCCAACCGTGCTAATTGGAGGTGCAGGGAAGGACAACCAACTCGACACAAAAAAGCATTTCTAAATAAATGAGTTGTCAATCCAGATTTAAAAGTGCATAGCTCTAGTGGCTTCCTAATATCGGAAGGAAGAGCGTTCCAGACGGCGCATCTGAAAGGGCGCGATGCAATGGCCGTCTTCGTTCGATGGCCAGCAAAAAGCCGCTGCGAGGATAACCGGAGCTAGCGTGTGATGGGTTATGCTCCTTCATGAAAGTGGGCACATAAAAAGAAAGACAAATGTGTATGTAAGTAGATAGATGCATGCAAAACAGGTGGGAAAGTAGAAAAGTAGGTCAGCTGACATTGTATGCATGTAGATAGACATGTAAACAAGCAAATATGTAGCGAGATAGATGTCATGGAAGGATAATTATAATGATTGGCTGATAGGCAGACCTGTAAACCGGCAGACGAGATGGACAGAAAGTTAAGTAGACACGTGGATAGATTCATGCTAATGTTGAGTAGTTCCGACGGACGTACTCGGAGACGGAGGTGAGTTAGGGGCTTCCGCCAGGGTTTATTAACACATATCACTATCCCAGGTTCCCTCTTTACCCCTTCTACTATCCCCGTTCCTCCAGTGACCCCGCTTACGTCACGGGGTCTCCCTTAAATACCCTAGGAGGGGGACGTCACGTGCACTGCCTGGCGCGCGCGACCCCACGTCCCGTGATGTCACCTCACCGGACAGCGCACACGACGCCACCACTCTCCTCTACTCCTCTACACTAACAGAAAAACAGGCATGTAGAGTCAATGGACAAATCGAAATACATAAGCAGATTGCAGTTAGGTGGATATAAGGGAGTGTCAATAGAGTGACAGATTGAGAGACAGAGGAGATAGGTACGTGTCAAGTTGATCAGTACCGAGATGAGCAAGTTTGTAGATGACGCTAGGGAACAAAGCTGATGATCGGGGGTTGTGGATATGCAGATACAAAAGCCTTCGAAGGGTTGCTAAAGCGTGCACGTTCAATATCACAGCAAACGCCTCTCCAGCCGCGACTCGGTGAAGCTGGACTTGGGAGTATGCTAGAAAAGGCTCCCAGAAAAAAAATCCAATCACAATACTTGTTTTGTACGCTAATCCTCGCCAATAAAGTACTTAAAATGTGAGTTGTTTGCAAGGGTATAGTGTGGGGCTAACGCACGCGGTGAACCCGTGCCCTTGGCCATGTCAGTCGACCGCCATCGTTCTCGAGTGGCCCTGCACTCTCTTGTTATTGGACATTAATTTACATCTATGGAAAATAATCAAATTCATTTTATTAAATGTTGATGGTAAAAAAACTCGTCAATCTATCGCACGTTAATAGATGATGGTGGTGACTCGGATTAAACTGTGGTGCTGTGTGAAAAAAAATGTTTGTACATTGTACATATTTAGTTTATGGTTGTGAGTGTGTAGTTAATACTTGTTACCTAATGAATGAATGCCAAGTGTCATCTATGGGACCAAGTGTTGTCCATCTTATCATTCCACTCATTCACCCAGGAAAAGCCTCGGTCTCAACTCTGTTCAGGAGGGTTCTGTTTCTCAGCAGGGGACGATGTCGTTGTGTGCAATCCCAATTGAGCGACTTGCATGGCAATTTTTCAGCTCTTGGGATGTTTGGCCAATACCGGTTACGTTGTACGCTTATTTAAATCTGGGAGGAAATGGGAGCACCCAAAGGAGAAACCCATGCAGATCAAGGGGGGGGGGGACATACAATACCCCACACAATACAAGGCACCCAAGTCGGGCATCGAACCCAGATATGTTTCTTTCTGCGAGGCCACAAGTATTATCACTGCGTGTTGATGATACTGAACTGCCAGTGCAGTATCAATGTGCACATCGTAGTCGTGGTACTCTGGACAGTTCCAATCGCTGACGAGGCTCTGCCCGCCCAAAAGAGTCCGGCTTGGAGAGGTCGCGCCGCTGCGCTGCACCGATATGTAAACGCGCGCAGGTACGACGAACACTGCCTTCGAAAGGGTAGAGAGTACTGCGCGAAGCGGGAGCAACTTTCAATGAGAATGAGAGGATCTATAAACGACCAACGCACGAACACGTACACACGCAAACACTTGCGGTACTCTTGTCTATATTGAAATATCGACGACGGGTCCGGCACACGCGTCTAGCAACTACATGGGACGATGGCTACGTCTATATAACCTTATATTCGGCGAGCACGAGGAGGTCGTTTCAAGGTAACAGGATTTGTTCCAAATACTTTCAGAATCACGAGGGGGAGGGGTGGGTGACGCAGTGCCGCCGCTAGACATGGCTTCGGACGCCCAGGAGGTGCTCAACGTCCTCCCCCCCCCCCCCCCAAACTCGCAGAGAGACACTGAAGATTTTAACAAAAATGTGCCGGTTCTTTTAGAATGGTTGTTCTGTTTCGTGAATACGCGATTGTGCCGATTGCGGCGGTGGGGAAAAACAATGGGTTGCTGTCGTTGAAATTTCAAATTCGGAAACTGCAGAGTGTAGCATTCAAAAAAGTGAAGAGCAACATCTGGGTTTTCTTACAGAACATTGTTGAAATGCAATTGAATGCTGGCTTTACTACGAAGCGATTTATTGATAACATTATAAGAACTTTAACAAAAAATTTATTATGTAACTGCGTTATACTAAAACGCGTATTTGAGAGCAGAAACTGAATTGTAGAGTCGTTTGTTTTTAAGCATAGAACGTTAAGGTGCAATTGCAATCATGCCGGTGTTTCTCAGCGATACGCACCAGCTCAAGTGCAGCCGAAATAAGAACACGGGGAATGTCGGGCGGGTCGGATGTCAGAGGGCTCAGCTGGCAGCGCTCAGACCCTGGGTTCAAACCCAGGCAAGCCGCGTGGGACTACACTGGGTCATCGAGTGTGGCCAGATGATGTTATCAGCCCGGTCACCAATAACTGCGCAGAGAAAGAAAATATCCCATCGCGTTGAATGTTCTGGCCCTGCACGTTTGGTTTAGTACTTCATTTGGCTAATTTTCAGGTCTACGTAAAAACAAAAATGTATCCGTTTGGCCGTTTTGTGATGACCGGTTCTCTCAAGCAGAGCAAGTGGGAAAGCGCTTACCCGTTCGCCGCGTGGACCAGAGGTCATTTGATGAAGGCTGCTCAGAAGTAGTTCTGTAAGATCCGCTTCACAAACGACTCTGAGAGATTCGAACTCGCGTACGTTCTCTCATCCACGCATTCTTCAATCTGTCACTCGCGGTTTTTTGCACACTTTTGAGTTTTGTTCCATTTTCAACATGAATCCTGGACTTCGTGCCGATTCTTCTGTTAAATCGAAACCGTCAGGATTCGTAATATGGCTTGATTATCATACAGCAGCGATGTACAGCGGTACAAATCAGGGCAAATCCGTGCGAATGCACAATTACACGGGAGGCTTTACATTTAAGATCATGCAGCTGTGTACACCTCCTGGTTGAAACGAAGCCACATTAATCCATTCACTTCTGGCACATTCATCACGTATGAAAGGGGCCTTGCTTGACTATGCATAAACAGAACCACTGTTGAAACACGAAAACTTCACACAACATCTTTACAGGGTTTTTGTTGTCGTTACGATTTCTTTGTTTGGTCCTCCTCCCAAATGTGTCACATTCAAAACCATCCGCAGGAATGGACCGCAGGGACGCCCAAACAGAAACGCAACGCAGCGTGTTATTTCGCGAGCCCAGGTTCCCAAACGCCATCGATATCAAACGCCAATCGCCAGTGGATTGCAACAGGACAGCACCAGGTCACTCACTGGGTGGCTGTTTTAAAATGAAAGCTGCCAGGATTTTTCGTATGGCTTTGAACATCGTACGTGAGCTGCGCGCAGCACTGAAACACGATAAAAATCTACGCCGAGGACAACTGTTAAGGAAGGCGACGGCTCAAAAGCCAACATGCTTGAGTCTTCGAGACATGTGCCACTGCAGTGCTGCAGGTTCTCTGACGCAACTGCGAAGCGTCGTAATTTTCAAAGAAATGCTTTTAAACTCTTTGATTCTTTCGGTAAAGTCACGTCAGTAGAAAAATGAAATTAAATTAAATTAAAAATAAATGTTTTTATAAAAAAAATTCTACCTCCGTGACTTTACCGAAAAAAACAGTGGATTCCTGGAATTACGAAAGCTTCAAATCAAGATTAAATGCTTTCAAGTGACTTAGACGCTGCTATACGCTCCGCAGACATCACTGTAGCGGATTTCCAAATATATTTATGTGCTGTCCCGATTGTGCTGTCGATGTCATTATAAAAGGAGGAATTCATTCTGATCGCTTGCAGAGCGGTGAAACCCTCGATGCTGGGCAACGGCGCACATAAGCAGACTTCACAGAACTACTTCAGAAATCCCTTCAAACATCACCTGTGTTCCGCGCAGTATGGATGGGGACGGCACATTCTCGCTCGCCAGAGAAATGTTTGTTGCGTGACACCAAAGTCTTTCTTCATAAGGAGCTTCGAATTAACGACATTAAGTGAAGAACATTTTAGGTGATGCGGGGTTTTTTTGTGTGCAGTCATTGGTGACTGGGAAGAAACCATCAACTCGACCCACTTGACTGGACCCAATTAAATCACAGGTGGCTGAAACCTGGATTTGAGAGCCGTTGAGGCTCCCAGCAGACTGCCACATATTTTAAAATGTAGCTAAGGTGATTTCATTACAGAGGTGCGCCTGAAAGTCAATTGAAAGTATTTTTTAAATCAATAAAGCTTAAGTCTCGCACAGGGCAGTGCGGAACACACGGCCTAGGTACCAGGAATATCGCTGCAACGGATATACAATAAAATCTATTCTCACACGTGTAGCCATGCATCGACTTGTGCACTTCAGAATCGATTATTTCTCATGCATATGAGCAGCCATGATCTATCCATTCACTACTGGATTAAGGCCTCCCAAAGCTGTCGACATTCTTCATCTACAAATCCATCGAGCTCCCACGCACGAGCTGATCTCACCACTCAAATCTAGAGGATTTAGATTATTTTGCTACTATAAATTTCCACGTGATAAACCACTTAGTTGAATTATTATTTGTGGCCAGGTCGCTTCTGAAAAATAAGCTAACAGTGCAGTGGGCCTTACCTGGTAGCATTATATATATATATTTATATATATATTTCGTGATTTGCTGACAGGTCCTATACTTTGCACTCCTATCGTATTTTTGTACTGTTTGTTGTTGCAAGTTTCTGACCTGCCCCCTATTGGACATCTGTGAAAAAGAGCTTTATAGCTCATCGGATTCCTCCACTGTAAATAAAGATTCTGATTCCCTCCCCTTTGGCTGCCACTCCGTCGTTAGTTGCGCCGGCCAACGTCCCTCCTCGCCGCCGTGACGCGTCCTGCCCAAGCCCAATTAATTTTCGTAACAGTCCATATGCTTTAGCTAAAGACTTGCGCATGTTCTCCGATGGATGCGTGCGTTTCTCTTTCGGTCTCTCAACGTCATGCCAGGCAAACACCTCTCTCCATGCCGCCGTTTGCACTGCGCCTGCCAGCGTTCGTTCGTTTCTGCTCGCCTTGGCAATGCGCCTCGAGGAAGAAGTCTCCGGTCGGCCAAAATGACCCCTCGCTCAGACATCGATCGGAAACATGGGACACTGATAGGTATACACCGCATGTCATTGCTCCGCAGCCACTTTAGACTCCAAACGCACAACGATGGGAGGGCAATTATCTATTCTTATATCGTGATCGATGGGGGGAGAACATTGTTGCATGCTGGCGACAACTTGCCCATAATTTCAAACAAACCAACTGAATGGTTTAAAAAAAAATATACATTTGTTTGTGCAGTCATTGGTGACCTGGCTGAGGCAATCAACTCGCTCCTGGTTTTAGCCACCAACTGTAGCTGCAACCTTTATTTGAACCTTGGATCGTGGCAAATGCTGGCCCAGTAGTTTTGACACGGTGATTACAAGCTCTTACCGACAGCCCCCAGACCACGCCACCACTCGTCTTCCACAAGAGTTGCTTTTAGAAATTGGTGCAAACCACAATGCACTCGCGCGCGTGCGTGCCCACACACACGATGCACATCATCAATTGCTGTTGCTCTGCAGCACGAGCGTACAGAATTGCTGAGCGCACCACATCTCACAAAAACAACAGCGGCAGCAGCGGCAGCAACGATCGAACCAAAGCAAATGTACGGCTCTCCGTAGCGCTTTCCGGTTGTACCACCTGTTATTCAGCGTGGCGTCCGACGTTTCGCTGCAGCACACCTGCGGCGACGTTTGCAGGAGCAAAAGCAAATGAAATCGTGTCTGAAGTGTCCCCCACCCTCAAATCCGTTGAGGAGGCTCCCAAATGAAAGTGGTGAGGTGATGTAAACGCCAGAAGTGAGAAAATAACTGAATATTAAATGGCCCCATTTAGTGTCAATTGCATGGAGGAGCACGCTACCCAATCACAACACGAGCCTTTACCCGAAGTTAAATGGTGCAAACATCTTGAGATTGTGTTGTCAGCAAGAATGTTGTCTGCGTTGCGTTAATATAAGAGGGGTCCTATCGTTGGGGAAATAACGTTAAATTGAGGACTTGCTACACAGCCACTTTGTCCAAAGGCTTTGACACTGTTATTGTTGTTGTTCTTGCATACACAACATAAGCTCTGATCAGGAATGCGTACCTCATTTTGGGATTTTAATCTGAAAAAATGCAAACATTAGCCCTGGGCATGACATTTTGGATGATCCGAAAAAACTATTTCTTTTGTCATAATAATCCGAAGATATGACATCACAGGAAGTGACGCTACTTCAACGATGTCACGTCAACGCTTTTTTCGCCAAAATTGAGGTGACATTGGGCGAGGTCACTTGGTACCCTAACAAAGGGCTACATTATTGCATAATGTTAAGGATTCTAAATTTTTCCAGTCCCAAATTGTCCTTAATATTCCAACGACCTCAAATCAGACCATTTTCAATCCAAAACTCATCCCATGCTCTGATTTTGTGGGAAAACATTTACTTGGTTGTCACAGAATCCTGGCCCAAAAATCCTAATTATTTAATGTGGATGATAGCTAAGGGTTGGTTGTTTTATGGGAAACCTGATTAATCTTCTTCAACTTGTATTTCTACCTCGTATAAAATGCCTCGTCTTTTTCATTTATTAGCCTTACAGGTGCCTTTTCTTGCCTAGCTCTCATGGCTGTGTCGCTTCGGTAGTTCGCTACTCTATTGCATGGATATGTACGTTGAAGTTCTTTCGCACCGTGCGTCGTCAACCATGCTATAATCGGTTGGCTACGTAATCGGTTGAAAAATAGTCTTAGCAGGGATTTACAATAAAGTTACAAGAATGACTGTTGCACCCTTTAACTCCAGCTCTATCTCAGGCCAATATCAAACGAACCAAGTCGCTCCTCTCAATAGCCCTTCCCTATAACCCCAGCCCCAGCCCTACTTCCAGCACCTCACCTGGCCCAACTTTTCGATGTTCATTTGCTTTTCTCCTTTCCCACGTTTGCCATGGCCCACACATTCCCTTTGTTTTCACCGGGACACCTCGGGACATCTCCGTGCTCCCCGCTGGCCTCAGTCGCTGCCGTTGCTCGTCGGGCGATGGGCGACCTCCTCGATAACGGCCGACTCGGCCACTCCGCCCGTTTCCACCGAGGCCTTTTCCAGGACGTGCTGTTGTCCTTTTTCTGGCCCCAGCGCTAAACCGTCGGCCTCCTGAAGATCCTTGACCTGCGGGTCTGCACCGTGGGAATTCTCCTCCGGTTGCTCCGACGGCGAACCCTCCGCGACTGCCGTGGCGGCGGTAGCGGCAGCGTCGTCGGCGACCCCTGTGGCGACCCCTGTGGCGACCCCTGTGGCGACCCCTGTGGCGACCCCTGTGGCGACCCCTGTGGCGACCCCTGTGGCGACCCCTGTGGCGACCCCTGTGGGGGCCCCTGTGGGGGCTCGGGATGCGGCCGACACGAGGGCCTGCGAGGAGGTCGCAGTCGAGGCCACCGTCTCGGCGGTCCGAGCGGGTGGGGGGTCGTCGCAGGGTGGTGGAGGAGGAGGAGCGGCATCGACGCTTGGCTTCGCTTCTGACGACTCCGGCTCTCCGTTGCTCGAGGTGTCGGCGTCATCGCGAGGGGACGTTAAGCTGAGCAGATCCGCGCAGCCAGAAGCGGCCCCAGGCTCGTTCTGCTGCTGATGCTGCTGCTGCTGATGCTGCTGCTCCTGTGGCTCTGATGGCTGCAGCATCTCTGAGCTGAGGCCAAGTAAATCGTCGAGACCCGAGGACGGTGCAGGCGTTTGCACCACAGGCAGGATTAGCGATGGAGTGCCGTCGGGGATTCTGATTGGAGCTGCGAGAAGGACGTCCGGTCCTTCAAAGCCCAGCAAATCATCGAGATTTGAACTGGGCGGAACAGATGAAGAATCTGACCCAGGGGTCATTGATTGCTGCGATAATGGTTTTGAATCTTCATGAATAATCTGACCAGCATCTACAACACTCAAGACTTGAGCTGGTGAAAGAGGGGAAAATACTTTATGTTGCTGCTCTTTCTGCTCCTGCTGCTGTTCCTGCTCCTGTTGCTGCTGTTGCTCCTCCTTCTGTTGCTTCTCCCGTTGTTGCTGCTCCCGTTGTTGCTGCTCTTGCTGTTGCTTCTGTTGCTGCTCCCACTGCTGTTGCTGCTGCTGATCTTTCTGCTGCTGCTGATCTTTCTGCTGCTGCTGATCTTTCTGCTCCTGTTGCTGCTGTTGCTGCTCCTGCTGCTCCCGTTTTTGCTGCTGTTGCTGCTGCTCCCGTTGTTGCTGCTGTTGCTGCTCCTGCTGCTGTTGCTGCTCCCGTTGTTGCTGCTGTTGCTGCTCCCGCTGCTGTTGCTGCTCCCGTTGTTGCTTCTGTTGCTGCTCCCGCTGCTGTTGCTGCTCCCGTTGTTGCTGCTGTTGCTGCTCCCGCTGCTGTTGCTGCTGCTGCTGCTCCTGCTGCTCCCGTTGTTGCTTCTGTTGCTGCTCCCGCTGCTGTTGCTGTTGCTGCTGCTGCTGCTCCCGTTGTTGCTGCTGTTGCTGCTGGTGTTGCTGCTGCTGCTGCTCCCGTTGTTGCTGCTGTTGCTGCTCCTGCTGCTGCTGCTGCTGCTCCCGTTGTTGTTGCTGCTGCTGTTGCTGCTGCTGCTGCTCGCGTTGTTGTTGCTGCTGCTGCTCCGTAGGTGCAGCAGGAATCCGTCCGCCGAGGCGGGGTGATGGCGGACGGGCCGGCGGCTTTCCGGACCCGGGACTGACTGCTTGAGGCTGCGGGCTCCGGCCTGGAGCCAGGCTCGTGGTGGTAGTGGTGGTGACTGCAGCGGAGGGAGCAGCAGCAGCAGGGGTGGACTTCTGCTGAGGCTTTGTGGACACCCGTGGGGAGCGGGGTGCAGCCACGGGAGGCGGGGCAGAGTGCGCTGCTGGTGAGAGTGTTGCTCCTGGCGCTGCTGCTGCTGCTGGTCGTGCGATGGGAGCTGGGCTTGCAGATGTGGCCAAAGATTGTCCTGTGAATGCAAGTCACATGCACGACGCGCTCGCATATACAAACGCCCACGTGTGCTTCAGTGACGGGCAGTTATGGCAATGGCTTGGGAGGCAGTGGCTCGTATCAGAGCCAGATTTACACACTGAGGGGGGCGTGTCAGACAGGCCCCCCTCAGTGAGGCAGATGTGATAGCTGCCTCCCCTGGTGCTTTTTCATGGCAGTTTCATGACGAGACCAGCGTGCCTGAATATCTTTACACATATGTAGAGGAGTAAAATGGGGACGTGACGTCATGTGTGCCGTTCAGTGCGATGACGTCACGTCTCCTAGAGTACTTAAGGGAGACCCCGTGACGAAAGCGGGTGCACTGTGGGAACGGGTAAGAGTAGAAGGGTGAAGAGGGAACCAGGGGTAGAGAGGGATCGAGTAGTGAGTCTGGGGAGAAGCCGGTGGTAGCCGATAGAGGTGCTCTCTCTCCGGTCGGTGGAGTTGGCAGAGTCCCCAATCCAACACGGAGAGAGAGACCGGAGCTAGCCAGGCAGGGACCAGGACTCAGTGTAGGACCCCTAGCCCCTGAGAGTTGTGTACCCTTGTGTGTTATTGTTAACCTTTAATAAACCCTTGGTGAAAGCCCTTAACTTACCTCCGTCTCCGAGTGCGTCCGTGGGAACTTCTCTACAACTGGTGTCAGAAGTGGGGTGAAATAAGTTACCTGGACTATGGAAGGCCAGGTCATGTAATGAAGGGGTCTACAAACATTACATTGGTGTCATACTGAGATAGTAACAGGCACGCGCTTATTGCCCAAGCTCAATCCAGTTACTGAGGGGTTGCGCAATCAGAGGGGAGGCTGAGCTCGTCGCTGCCTCACCTCTCGCCTCTCCTTGTATTTGCAGCGGAGCTCCGCAAATTTAGCGATTTTGACTATAAAATGTATTGGAATTGTACGTAAATTACATTAAAACACAGATCAGTGTAAAAATCTTAATATTTATTTCATGATATATTTTTTCGTAACAGCTATTTTCATTGGCGTATGGCAGGTGAGGCTCTGCCTCTGGTGTGCTTGCACACAAACGCGGATGTACACATTGAATAGCAGTTGCTATGGGTATCTACACACTCCGATGTGACTTCCAGCTGTGCTCCTCGAACAAATATCTACGTTTGTCTGGTGACTTTTATTGTGCTCATTCGTCTTGCAGTCTCCTTTACCTTACTCGAAATAAGTTAGGGCTAGACTAACACTGGCAGAGTGGTCGTCTAGGTAGAGCTAAACCTTAGTGGCGAGTTGGTTCGGGGTAGAGCTGGTGCTCGTCGCTGGTTCGGGTTAAAGGTGGGGCTTGCATTTAATTGGCCGTTGTGCTCCACCCCCAAATCGCATCAGGTGGCTTTTATCCGAATTCAACTATCGTCTCGATGTTGCCCGTACAGCAGGTGGAGGGCACATAGAGCATTTATAAAATAGTAAAACTTGATAACTCATTAAACCGTTTGTAACTTTGTGTAATTGTAACATGTTGCCATCGTGAAATACACCGCTTTGAAATTGGGTCCATCTTTTTGAAACGCCCTGAATATATCACGACTGCTTTTCAGTTACCGCGGTCAGCGCGCTTTACCGGCGCTCCCACATCAACGCCCGGAGGTCTCGAGACTCGCTCCCGGAGACCGCCACGAGTCCGGCTGGCGGCGTTCTGCCGGCAGGACGAGCGAGACTTCTCGAGATGGCTCTTACCGGACGAGAGCAGCAGGGTGGCGGAGACGCCGGGCTGCGCGGCCGCTGCAGGCGATGGCGCGACGGGGTCGAGGTCGAGCAGCGACAGGGGGGAATCCCCGAGGGCGCGTGCCGCGACTTTCACCTGGGGCTGGGCGGCAGCGACGTCGGGCCACTGCAGCAGGTCGACGGCGGTGGTTTGCGCGACCGGAGCGGCGGGGAAGGCTCGGGGCGGAGCCGCGGTCGGTGCGTCGTCGCCCAAGAGGTCGACTGCGAGGGACAAAAAAAATAAATGATTTTTTAAATATTTTCACGCTTTATCCATCCCCCGCTGGATGACCGCCTCCTCATGCCCTGTCGGTCGTGGGATTGGGGGGGGAGCGTTCATTGACCGACCACACTTCACCGTTGTCGGTGCTGGTCGGTAAAGCGACCCAGGACCGGTTCGGATATGTTTGCAGTGGTAGGGAATCAAACCCAGGTTACTGGGTTCACAGTGCAGTGTGGTAACCACTGCGCCACTCCTGTCCCCATGGTGTCTATCACTTGACCGTAAATACAAAAAGAAAAACCATCTTCAAATATGTAACAACATTGTGTCTGTTAGGCGAACCGTTTTTTTCTGATTTGTATTCCAATCGTGCGGTACCTGCACCTTGCTACGAGATCAAGTGCCAGTTCCGACCTCTCCCAGAGCAGCTTATCGGAGGCCCTGTGCTAGACAATGACCTGCAGTAGGAGCTATCAAACAACTGTTTCGTGGAGATCCCTTCCAGTGATGTTATTCTATCCACTAGTCCTGCCACATACAGGAATGTTTGTCGCATGGCACTTAACAACCTCCACTATTTTACATTCTCACATGCAATATGGAATGTATCCAAACGATCTGACAATACAAATGTATTGTCATCTGTGATTTCTATGCAGCCATCGGTGACCGGGCTGATAGACCGGTCACTCTCTGTAATTGACGACCCAGTTTCACCACAGGTGGCTGAATCCCAGATACAACCTGTCTCATGGCACCAATAAGCGTCAAGGCAGAACACAATGGAGGGTGTGGTCCACCTGTAATGGGGAAAGCGGCTGATGAAAATTAGAGACAGCTTCAACAAGCAAGGTGTCAGTCACCGTCAGTGCGGCCGGCTTCCTATAAATAGGAACCCAGCCACCCCCCACCACCCCCCCCCACCACCACCCCCCCCGCCACCACCACCGCCTCCACCACCCCCCTCCCCACCACCACCACCACCGCCCCCACCACCCCCCCACCACCACCTCCACCGCCACCCCCCCCACCACCACCCCCCCTACCGCCACCCCCCCCCACCACCAGCACCACCAGCACCACCAACCCCCCCCACAACCACCACCACCCCCCACCACCAATACCACCATCCCCCCACCACCACGACCATCCCCCCCAACATTCCCCCCCGACCACCACCACCCCCCTCCGTGTGTCTGCCCTGTGGGTCACATGGCATTTTCTGCCTACGATGTTACGGCTCTTGTGTGTAACCAACCACCTGGGTCCTCGCTGAGAAGCAACCCTTGTACAATGAATAAATAGGAGACACTGTAATTTTATACGGTGTTTGGTCACGGTCTGAATAAATCACGGCTGCTTTTTTTGGTAAACAAGGAAAACGTAGAATTATATTATTTTCTTGTTTGTGGGACATTAAAAAGTGGAGTAGAACCCTTATCTGTAGTTCTATGGGTGGGGGGGGCAATATCGCAGATCCTATTGTCTGCGGGCAGAGGTCGCAACCGGGTACCCGGTACCCGTACCCTACCCGATACCCGGCTACCCGTACCCGGCCGGGTACGGGTAGCCGTTTGCGACTCTGGTGCGGCCGGGTATGGGTAGGCCGTGAGTCACTGGTGAGTAACCGTTTGTCACTCATTTCGGGTAGGGTACGGGTAGGGAACATTTGCGACCCTGGTGCGGCCGGGTACGCGTAAGGAATCAAAACCCGTTTGCGACCTCTGTCTGCGGGGTTATCTACAATTTTATCCACGGCGTAAAATATCGTAGACAACCCCGAGGCTAACAGGAATTATTTGCCACGTGACTCCTCTTATCTGCGAAATAAATCGCGGATGTAAAGATGTCACTCTGTGACAGTTATGGGAAAAGTTGCGGATAATCTCAGATGAGAGGAAGAAAGAGGGCCATAGATAAATCGTTTACGCAAACACTGCAGCTGCTATGGATGAGAGGAGTTGCAAGGAATAGGACCACGGATACGATTACTTCTGTATAAGCCATTACGCACCACGGGGGTGGGATATTAACTACCTCACCTGGTATGCAGGAGGTCGTGTGTTCGATTCCGACCCTGACGCCTGTTGTATATATGGAGTTTGCATGCTCTCCCTGTGGTCGCGTGGATTTTTCTCCAGGTCCTCCGGTTTTTCCCTCCACATTTAGAATCAATATGCGTGTAATGTCTTTGGCTGCTATAAATTTCCACGTGATAAGCAACTTCGTTGAGCTATCATTTGGGGACAGGACGCTAATTAATAAGAGATATATAACTCGGTGGGCCTTACCTGGTTAAATAAATAATAACATAATTTTGCTTTATAGCTTTTGCAAAAATCCAGATTCGCCAGCAGGGCTATGCGACCGGTATCGGTCCGTGGCCTGTTAGGAACCGGGCCGCACAGCAGGAGGTGAGAGCGGTGAGTCTGCGCGTGGCCCGCCCGCATTGTTTTATTATTGACCACTTCCATCCGCGCCTCTTTGCCGCACTGCGCACTTGTCTCAGTCACAGTGTTGGTAAGCCCACAAGCTCTAACTCCGAGCCACAATGAGTAAAACACAAACGTCGCTGGAGAACTTCTTTGAAAAGGGGGAAAGACCCAATGATGAACACCCCCCCCCGGTCCGTGAAAAAATTGTCTCCCACGAAACCTGTCCCTGGTGCAAAAAAGGCTTGAGGACCGCTGAATTTTACACCACTGCACGACGCCAATTCACAATTACACTCAAGTCGCCGAAACGTCTGGAAATGTACGTCCGAACTGGCCCACAGGTGGACACTGGCCGTGACTTGCCGAGTCTCAACGGCTGAGGAGTGTGGGGGGGGGGTGGTTCTGCGTTCGGCCATCGTGGTGGCACGAGATTAAGAGTCAAGCCTTTGCTCACCTGACGCACACGCTGGCGCCGGTGTCGACCGCTGGGGCCCTGCCAGCAATGAGGCCCAAGGATCGGGGGCAGGGGAGGCAGCCCCAGATGGCCTCGCGGATGACTTGGAGTCTGCGGAACACGAGAGACGCGGACACGGACACTGATCGCCCCGTGTGTGGAGACGTTTCGCGCAATCGGGGTATGTGCTGTTATCAAGCGCTGTTATCAAGCGTTGTTATCAAGCGCTGTTATCAAGCGCTGTTATCAAGCGCTGCTATCAAGCGCTGTCATCAAGCGCTGTTATCAAGCGTTGTCATCAAGCGCTGCTATCAAGCGCTGTCATCAAGCGTTGTTATCAAGCGCTGCTATCAAGCGCTGTCATCAAGCGCTGTCATCAAGCGCTGTCATCAAGCGTTGTTATCAAGCGCTGCTATCAAGCGCTGTCATCAAGCGCTGTCATCAAGCGCTGTCATCAAGCGTTGTTATCAAGCGCTGCTATCAAGCGCTGTCATCAAGCGCTGTCATCAAGCGCTGTCATCAAGCGCTGTCATCAAGCGCTGTCATCAAGCGCTGTCATCAAGCGCTGTCATCAAGCGCTGTCATCAAGCGCTGTCATCAAGCGCTGTCATCAAGCGCTGTCATCAAGCGCTGTCATCAAGCGCTGTCATCAAGCGCTGTCATCAAGCGCTGTCATCAAGCGCTGTCATCAAGCGCTGTCATCAAGCGCTGTCATCAAGCGCTGTCATCAAGCGCTGTCATCAAGCGCTGTCATCAAGCGCTGTCATCAAGCGCTGTCATCAAGCGCTGTCATCAAGCGCTGTCATCAAGCGCTGTCATCAAGCGCTGTCATCAAGCGCTGTCATCAAGCGCTGTCATCAAGCGCTGTCATCAAGCGCTGTCATCAAGCGCTGTCATCAAGCGCTGTCATCAAGCGCTGTCATCAAGCGCTGTCATCAAGCGCTGTCATCAGGCGCTGTCATCAAGCGCTGTCATCAAGCGCTGTCATCAAGCGCTGTCATCAAGCGCTGTCATCAAGCGCTGTCATCAAGCGCTGTCATCAAGCGCTGTCATCAAGCGCTGTCATCAAGCGCTGTCATCAAGCGCTGTCATCAGGCGCTGTCATCAGGCGCTGTCATCAAGCGCTGTCATCAAGCGCTGTCATCAAGCGCTGTCATCAAGCGCTGTCATCAAGCGCTGTCATCAAGCGCTGTCATCAAGCGCTGTCATCAAGCGCTGTCATCAAGCGCTGTCATCAAGCGCTGTCATCAAGCGCTGTCATCAAGCGCTGTCATCAAGCGCTGTCATCAGGCGCTGTCATCAGGCGCTGTCATCAGGCGCTGTCATCAGGCGCTGTCATCAGGCGCTGTCATCAGGCGCTGTCATCAGGCGCTGTCATCAGGCGCTGTCATCAGGCGCTGTCATCAGGCGCTGTCATCAGGCGCTGTCATCAAGCGCTGTCATCAAGCGCTGTCATCAGGCGCTGTCATCAGGCGCTGTCATCAGGCGCTGTCATCAGGCGCTGTCATCAGGCGCTGTCATCAGGCGCTGTCATCAGGCGCTGTCATCAGGCGCTGTCATCAGGCGTTGTCATCAAGCGCTGTCATCAGGCGCTGTCATCAGGCGCTGTCATCAGGCGCTGTCATCAGGCGCTGTCATCAGGCGCTGTCATCAAGCGCTGTCATCAGGCGCTGTCATCAGGCGCTGTCATCAGGCGCTGTCATCAAGGCGCTGTCATCAAGCGCTGTCATCAAGCGCTGTCATCAGGCGCTGTCATCAGGCGTTGTCATCAGGCGCTGTCATCAGGCGCTGTCATCAGGCGCTGTCATCAGGCGCTGTCATCAGGCGCTGTCATCAGGCGCTGTCATCAAGCGCTGTCATCAAGCGCTGTCATCAAGCGCTGTCATCAGGCGCTGTCATCAGGCGCTGTCATCAGGCGCTGTCATCAGGCGCTGTCATCAGGCGCTGTCATCAGGCGCTGTCATCAGGCGCTGTCATCAAGCGCTGTCATCAAGCGCTGTCATCAAGCGCTGTCATCAAGCGCTGTCATCAAGCGCTGTCATCAAGCGCTGTCATCAAGCGCTGTCATCAAGCGCTGTCATCAAGCGCTGTCATCAAGCGCTGTCATCAAGCGCTGTCATCAAGCGCTGTCATCAAGCGCTGTCATCAAGCGCTGTCATCAAGCGCTGTCATCAAGCGCTGTCATCAAGCGCTGTCATCAAGCGCTGTCATCAAGCGCTGTCATCAAGCGCTGTCATCAGGCGTTGTCATCAGGCGCTGTCATCAGGCGCTGTCATCAAGCGCTGTCATCAAGCGCTGTCATCAAGCGCTGTCATCAAGCGCTGTCATCAAGCGCTGTCATCAAGCGCTGTCATCAAGCGCTGTCATCAAGCGCTGTCATCAAGCGCTGTCATCAAGCGCTGTCATCAAGCGCTGTCGGCACTAATTCGGTCATCAATTTTTGTCTTCTCAACTGGCGACGTTGTAACATCACACTCGGGGCCGGATTAAGATTGGGCTACAGGGTACTGTGAGGCCCCCGGTAATATTTTCAGAAAACAAAGTTAAAGAAAAATAAAATGTATTTTTACAAGGCTAACAACAAATAAAATGTCAGCATTCACAAATGAAATAACTTTGCAATTAATCTCTGGAGGTCCTCCAGCTGGCAGAGGCCCCTGGGCTGCAGCCCCTAAAGCAGGGGTCCTCAAACTACGGCCCGCGGGCCACATGCGGCCCGCCAAGGACATTTATCCGGCCCCCCCACCTCCCAGGACTCAGAGGAAACCAGGGCATGTGGGAGGGGCCAGCTGCGCGGTGACTTGTGGGCAGTGAAAGCCGGAAGCTGGTTCGTGGGAGAGAGAGCGCGGGAGACGTGACAGACTGAGCATCACAGCGCAGCCACAGTCTTTTAGAGCAGAGGCAGCTTGGAGGAAGTTGGCAGCATCATTACCCCCCGAACCGAAGAGGTGAGACAGATGACACCCACATCCCATGGTCACTAATTGGGCTGCGCTGGTGAGCACTAATTGGGCTGCGCTGGTGAGCACTCATTGGGCTGCGGCGGTGGGCACTCATTGAGCTGCGCTGGTGAGTACTGATTGAGCTGCGGCGGTGGGCACTCATTGAGCTGCGCTGGTGAATGGTTCAATGGGCCAATTGACTGGACTTGCCCCCCAGGCCTAAGGCTGCCAGCCCTCCCCTGGCTGCACTTGACTAGCTCTGCCTCGCTCAGCTCCCTCACTTGCCCCTCGGCTCCACTCCCAGTGATATTCTTGTGTGCTGGGGATGTACTGCGATCTGTGAACAAAACTGCAGGTGTAATTAACTTTTTAATGGCACCCGCACCAGTGTGAGCCTGGGGTAAAAGCGGAGTTCCCCCAGACTGCATTGATGGGCAGTGCAGTCTGTATGTCTCTGTGTGGGCAAAGTTATTGCTGGTATATTGTTTTTTGTAGCGCTGTATATATATTGGTATTTTACTAATAGCAATTTTGACTCCCTAGGAAACAATGATGTCAAGAAAGAGAAAAATTGACTCGGAGTGTAAGATATTCAAAGAACAGTGGACTTATGATTACTTTTTCATGCAGTACAAGGAAAGAGCTGTGTGTCTGATATGCCAGAATATAGTGTCTGTGTTCAAAGAATACAATTTACGTCAACACTATGAAACTCAACGTAAAGATAAATATGATTGTTTGGTCGGAGAAAAGATAAATATTAAACTAAAAAATACATTAACAACTCAGCAAAATACTTTTGTGAAGCAGAAGCAGCTAAATATTTCATCACTGCGAGCAAGTTTTCAAGTTGCCAAGCTAATAGCGTGCACTGGCAGACCATTTATGGAGGGAGAATTTGTTAAAGAATGCCTTCTTTCTGTTGCCAAAGAGATGTGTCCAGAGAAGGCCGATTTATTTAGTACAGTGAGTCTTTCAGGACCTACAATTACACGGAGGATTGAAGAAATGGGAGACAATTTGCATCAGCATCTTAGACCCCACCATGCTCCTAGCATGGTGGGGTCTAAGAAAGGAGTAATTGCTCGCATTAACCAAGAGATGGACAAACATAACCATTCTCATCCAATAGCCATACACTGCCTCATCCACCAACAAGCGCTGTGTAGTAAATCACTGAAGTGGGACTCTGTTATGAAAATTGTGGTATCTTGTCTTAACTTCATTAGAGCTCATGCACTAAACCACAGACAATTTCAGGAATTTCTGTCTGAACTAAATGTTGACTATGAAGATGTTCTGTACCACACAGAAGTCCGTTGGCTGAGTCGAGGGAGAGTTTTGAAACGTTTCTATGACTTACTTCCACAGATTACAGCTTTTCTGCTTTCAAAAAACAAAGAAGTACCAGATCTCAATGATGCAGAATGGAAATGGCACCTTGCCTTTCTGACAGATGTAACAGAGCTACTCAACAGTTTCAATGTGCAACTTCAAGGAAAGGGGAAGCTCCTCTGTGATATGCAATCACATGTCAAAGCATTTTAAGTAGAATTAGGCCTCCTCATCAAACAAGTTAAGGAGGAAAACTTATGCCATCTCCCCACAACTCAAAATCTGTTAGCGGAAAAACCATTGGTTGCAATTCCCAAACAAAACATGTGTGATTCACTGGAAAATTGCAAAAGGAGTTCCAATTTAGATTTAAAGAGCTTCATCGCCATGAACAGGACATACAGCTTTTCCGTAACCCATTTTCTATTGACATTGAAAATGTGGATACAATTTACCAAATGGAACTGGCTGAACTGCAGAATTGTGACTCTCTGAAAGACGCATTCAAGTCAAGCAGCCTTCATAATTTCTATGCATCTCTCCCCTCTGAGACATATCCTCATCTCAGGAACCATGCACTCAAAATGGCAACCATCTTTGGCAGCACTTATGTCTGTGAACAGACTTTTTCCAGAATGAAAAATTTGAAATCTCCAACCAGATCTAGACTAACGGATGCACACTTGCATCACTTGTTACGACTAGCAGTGACAAATATGGAACCGGACATTGACCATCTCATTAGCCAAAAGCAGGCCCATAGTTCCCATTGAAATACTGGCAAGTTTGTTGATTTAACTTTACTTGTTCTTCATTTTAAATATTGTATTTGTTCCCATTTTGTTTCTTCACTTCAAAATAAGATATATGCAGTGTGCATAGGAATTTGTTCATAGTTTTTTTTACTATAGTCCGGCCCTCCAACGGTCTGAGGGACAGTGAACTGGCCCCCTGTTTAAAAAGTTTGAGGACCCCTGCCCTAAAGCCTCGTGCCTTCACCCGGCACTGATCACACTGGGTACTCATTTAAGGCTGAGTCGACCTAGTAGAGGCCCGGGACCGGTTCAGAAATGTGTTGCTCATGTACGCCATGAACGGAAATCGGACTCGGGTCGCCAGATTCGTATAGCACCGCTCCTCTGAAAATGCACGCTCGCGCATGCCGACTCCGTGCCACGTGGTCACTCGCTTCCAATGGCAGCCCTGGGCGAGCGCAAGTCCAGTTATGTATTGCGAGCCTTGAGAATTAACCCTAACCAATTAATCGATCCATTGCACCACTCCTAATGAAAGTTCGCATCCCATGGATACTGAATACGATTTTATGTTGTACAACGAAGGATATGTGGCATTGTGGACAGGTTAGTGTCTTTGGTATTTTCCTCCAATTTTATCCCAAATGTGCCAACGGTATCACGTCACGAGGCAACGGATTCGTTCGTATCACTCGCAAAGCCGTGCAACCGTTCATGTTAGATAACCATCCCACTGAAGCAAACATCACGTAACTTCTTCTGAGTGAGCTGTTCTGACCTTAATTTTTGTTTTAAAAAATCGCACAAATTCTATCTCAGCTATGTTAATCCGCACCATGTCTCGAGACGCGCATCCCTTTGTGTTGGCGAACTGACCCGCTGAAGCGGACACCGCAGAACTACTTCAGCGTCTCAACGCACCGGTGGCGGCGGGGCTTGCGGGAGGGATGCTCCAGGGGTCGTTCTGAGCGACCGAGGGGGCGACCGTGTCCCAGACGTCCAGGGGCTGAGTCTGCTGCTGCTGCTGTTGCTGTGGAGCTGTGGACCCCACAGTCAAAGGGGAACTGAAGCAATCTCCGATGTCGAGCAGCGGCAGCTGGGGAACAGCCGAGGGAGGGGAGGGGGTGGAAAGGGGAAAGCGAATCGAATCAAACCCACGCCTGTCAACCCTCATCAGTGCCCTAGCTTATTGCACACCAATTCAGACCTTATTGGTCACCCCGTGCCCATCTAAATCTCAATATCCCATCGCAAAGGAGAAATACAAACAGATAGACGAACATATTTTGCTTTGCCCGTACTGAAACGTCTGTACGCCGTGTGGACCTGAGCACCCAGTTCCCCTGTACACGGCTAACCACGTGGGTTGACGTGTATGCAAATCACGAGTACGTTTGGCATTCAAGCAAATAAAAAGGATGTGTTCACTCTTTATGCGTTACAACTTAGAGAGTGCTGTTTGTTGCTGGCTGTGTGACGTTTCGGCGCCCATGAGCCTGTGCTCAGAACTGTGTTGAAGTATGGGGGCGATGTTGCGATGTGGATGAACCCAATTAGGCCTTTTTTTTATTTTGGACCGCAGCGCCGGCATAGAGGAGGCCTTCATCCAGCAATTGATTTACAAAGTGTGGTCAATTATAATTATTATTCGCAGTCTTATTAGGCTCAAGTAATGATATTACCTCGACCATCGCGGCTTCCTTGGTTGTCGCGGTGGGCTGCTCGGCTCTGATCTCCGCACGTGGCTCCTGGTTAGACAATCGACAAAAGCAAAAATGTGTGAGACGGTCTAATTATAGCGTGTGGTGCAACCACATTATTACACATACCCCACATCCCCCAGTGTGTGCACGCGCATCCATTTTGTACAACCAACGTTTGATGTGCCCCCCCCGGCACATTGTGTGGGTCGTGGGAGCTATTTAACCATACTTCACCGCGCAGGTCAATGTAAGGGAGCATGAGCCGTGGAAGCACATGAGCACAGAGCAGCAATGGAATAATATGCATGACCGTCTGCTGCCGATCATGTTGCACCCGCAGCAGCCTACGACAACCCGTGTAGCATTGCTGGGTCGTCATTCTGCGTGCGCTATCCCAGGCTTAAACCCGCTTAGCTACCGAGACCCGACGAGATCGGACCGCATTGCCGGTGAGTTGGTCGCGCAGGGTCATCGTGATCATGTTCAGATCCGTGGTGATGCTCTGCATCGTGAAGTCTGCGGATCGTGTGCTGTTGTGCACTCGGAAAAGCTAAGCCAAAAAAGTGTGGTGGGTTTCGTTGATCGGGTTCAGAACTTCACCTGCTCTGCCGGCACCGAAGGATCGGCTGTTTTCTCCTCTGCCCGATGAGGCTGTTCTCCATGCTCTGTGCCGGCAGCCACTTGGGGAGACGATGCTGTGGTAGCCACACGTATAAACAATCGTCAGTTCATTACTCGGTAGTGCCAATGATAAGATGCCATTCCGATTACCATAGTGTCCACTTTATTAATTACTTTGTAGTGCCTAAGATAAGATGCCATTCCGATTACCATCGTGTCCACATTATTAATTACTCGATAGTGCCTAAGATAAGATGCCATTCCGATTACCATCGTGTCCACATTATTAATTACTCGATAGTGCCTAAGATAAGATGCCATTCCGATTACCATCGTGTCCACGTTATTAATTACTTTGTAGTGCCTAAGATATGATGCCATTCTGATTACCATCATGTCCACATTATTAATTACTCGGTAGTGCCAATGATAAGATGGCATTCCGATTAGCAGTCTCCAGATTACAAGTCGCATATTTTCCCCGGCATTTCAAGCAAATGTATTGTTATTCTGCAAAGCAGGAATTCCAATCCTGCGGAGACAGAACGTAATTTCGTTCATATTTTCCGTTCCCCGTCGTGCTCCATGGAAGCGAGTGATGAGTTTGTGTGTGCGGAACTTGAACAATTGGGAGGGCCGGTTCAGAAAGTCAGGAACCGGTCGCAGCTCGCAAATCAATGTTGGGTAACGGGCACACTGATTGAGGGGCACACTGATTGAGGGGCACACTGATTGAGTGGCATGAATGGGGTCACCGCGGGGTGGCCGAAGTGCGTACATTTGCCCTCCTTGCTCAGTGCAAAGGGCAAAGTTCAATCCTCACTCCACCGCGTTGAGTCTCCACTAGAGCGAGCGTCTAGGGGTATTTGGTCTCTACACGTAACCTGGGCGATCAATTTCATCATGGTGAACTCATTAACTTAACACCGCTGGGTGGATAGAGGCGGGGGGGGGAGATTTAATAAACTTGCCCCATTGTTTCATCAACTGCTTCGTCGCGACATGAAATCGAACCGGCGAATCTGCACGACAAGTCCAGTGCGCTGAGCATCACGCCACGACAGCTCCTTTCGTTCCCAGTTAAAATATATATATATATTTGCTGCCCTTGGCATATCTCCGTGTGTGTTTCTATTTATTTGATTAAAAACCAGACAAACAAACAACGATTTCGACGACCCAAACGTGGGAGCCCGCGACGCGCGTCTGCCTACGCGGTCGCTGAGCGGCGGGCGACCCCCCGGAGCCTCCTCCGTCTCCTCCATTGGACGATGTGGAGCCCAGCGCCTCCCTGGGCCCGGGGCTGCGACTGAGCCCCCCCAGAAACTGCGCGGCGCCCCCGGGCTTGGCCTTGCTCTGCGCCATGCGCTCCTTCGTCTTGAGCGCCAGCTCGCGCTTGGACTGGAGCAGCGCTTCGTCCTGGTGGCCAAACGGCAGCAACAGCAGCAGGATGCAGAGAGCGTTCAGTCCAGGCTGAATCCACCCGTCCCCCACCACCACCACCACCTCTTACGAATAATCACAATGTAACGCAATTTTTGTTCCTGGGTAGTAAGTGTTATTTTCGAATTGCTTATGCCACAAAAGTAGAGAAAATGGCTATTATTCACCACGAGCTTTTGTGACCAGGACTTTGTGTGAAGGAATGACACAAATGCACACCACGTTTTCTCATTGAAAATAGGTACATTTCAAAATATCACTGTCCTGGTCACAAAAGCAAAGTTTGTGGGGAGTTTCGATTTAAAGCTTTCGTGACTGCAGGGATTCATCTTCTTGGTTCTTTCGGTAAAGTCACGTAGAAGGGAAGTAATAAAATAATAAAAATAAAACAATTCTCACGACGTTTCGGCCACAACGCAAGCAGCCGTCTTCAGGTGAAAACCAGGTCCGTCGAGGCGACAGAGTCTGACTCTGTGGCCGAAACGTCGTGAGAATTGTTTTATTATGTTTTATTTTTATTATTTTATTACTTCCCTTCTACGTGACTTTACCGAAAGAACCAAGAAGATTTGTGGGGAGTAATAGCCATTTTCTGTACCTTTGAGGCATAAGCAATTCGAAAATAACACTTACTACCCAGGAACATTTTTTTTTTCATTTCTTACACCGTGTTATTAATGTAGTGGATTATTAACTTTGCTTTTTGTGTCCTGGTCACAAAAAGCACAATTTGTGGGGAATAATAGCCATTTTCTGTACTTTTGTGGCATAAGCAATAGGAAATAACACTTACTACCCAGGAACAAAAAGTAATATTTTGCTTGTTACACAGTGCAATCCACCAACCACCTGCACACAAACCAATCTCGTCCGATCCATCTTGCTCAGCGGACGTGCCCTGCGATGCATTCCACTCATTGGCTGCCACACAGGTGGGCTGCATTTGATCCTCATGGAAATAACAGGGTTATCAATGAGCTTCATAGCTCATCGGATTCCTCCGGTATAAAGCTCCCGATTCTGCATGGTCGACGGAATCGGACAGACCGGAGCACCCCCAGCCCGTGACACGCGTCGAGGATTAACGCCGCGCACACCTGCAGCAGAGCCACCAGCTGCTTGGACTTCTCGCGCACGTTCACGCCGTAGTCCTTGCCGTCGCGGTCCACGAAGCGGAACTCCTGCAGCATCTTGAGGCCGGACAGGTGCTCGCGGCACTGCTCGGTCACCTGCGGGAACGGGCGAGCCGGGCGACCCTGGTTTGCGAGGAGGCCCTGTCGCTTCGTCTCGGCGAGGACGCAGGAGAAACGTGGGGAGGGCTTTACACCTTTACATAACGCCGAATGCGCAATCAGAATGAAAAGTGAGGAGGTACGATATGTAGAGACACGTGGGCACATCTGAGCTCGTCGTGCGTTGTGCGGTTGTTAATCCACGGGCGAATTAAGGAACTCCCACGCCGTGTCGGCCATCAGGGCCGTTTGACTATCGCCAGCAAAACAAGAGTGGCGCTTTGACAAAGATTGTATTCAAACGTGGCCACTGGACGGATCAAATTATTACCGAGACAGCTCATCCTCCTCTTCAGACGTGCCCTCGACGCTTTCCACGACTTCATTCAACATCGCAGTGCGACAACACTATGCTCAAACTGCTTTGAGACCTCATCAGGCGGTGAGCTCGGAAATCGAGTGACAAGAACGGTAAGAATGTTGACATGAAACTGCCACGAAAACCTACATCTTGGGTTGAGAGTCCTACTGCTAACATCTCAGATTCCCGCGCGGGGGGGGGGGGATCACTACGATGACGTTTGTGGTGGTGATGTTCTGGCCGTACAAATGATCCCCCGTGACCTTCCCTGCACTCTCACCACCACCACTGCCACGCCACGAACCTTCTCGTTGCCAATTTGGGTGAGGCATTCGAGCAGCACCAGCGCCTTGTAGACGTGACGCCAGTTTCGTCCCCCATCGCTCATCCTCTTCCACAGCATGGTCATCACCTGCGGAGCGAACATTCGCACGTGGCGCCACTCGTCAGCCGCTCCATCCACGCAGGGTTCAAGGCAGAGTCAAGAGTGAGTGATTCGCACTCAAGAATTTGAATGGTCGCTGTCCGTGGTGCTGAATAAAAGTGGGTCAATTTGTCATTAAATTTTTTCGCCGTCAGGCCCACTGAGCTCTGTAGCTCTTTTTCAGAAGAGATCGAGTCACAAATGATAGCCCAACAAGTGGCTTGTCACGTGGAAATTTATCGCAGCCAAATACCATAAACTCATGTTTCTAAATGTGGAGGGAAAAACCGGAGAAAGCGGAGAAAAATTCACGCGACCACGCAGAGATAGAAATGCAAACTACAAATATACAGGCATCAGGGTCGGGACCGAACCCACGATCTCCTGTACACCTGGCGAGGTAGTTAACATCTCGCCACCATGGCGCCCACAAATTAGGTAGCCTCTTGGTCGAAATTTCTAAATCGTAGCTTCGAAAAAATGTCTGCGTTATTTATTGATGAAGTTTTGGTTTTCACGAACACACAAAACTGAATGCATCATCCCAGAGTAAATGGCAATGTCCTTTTGTGTACGTCCCACACCGGGATTTTACAACGATTTTTGTGAAACCCAGGCAGCTCTTGCAAAAGAGACAATGTTGTTTCATGTGTCTCAATCAGTTTATTCAATCTCCTTGGTAAACAAAGAATACCGATCAAGAAAGGTGGACAGATGATTTATATCAGAATTACAGCCGCAATTGGTTGACTTACTATGTCCGAGTAAAAAAGTCATGTCATGATTACACTATCCGAAGCTTTCGTGACTGCATGAATTACTCTTTGGTTCTATCGGTAAAGTCACGTAGAAAGAAATTTCACAATTTATTACATATTAAAAGTGTCTGAAATGTATGTCCCAAATTGTGGAACTGCCAGGTGGGGTCATTCGTTGTACCACAATGACCGTGTGTGTCTCCCTGCTCAATGGAACCTTGAGTGATGCTCATCTCTGATGGCTACCTTTGAGTCAGCTGTAGAAAGTCCACATTCACGCGGCGAGGGCCAGTCCAGACAATTAAATCCACTGTTATGGACTGCCCACAAAGTGTGCAGAACGCACGTAAACTGCCCCGATGTAACAGGCCGTAGTATACCCACAGGCCGAAGTATACCCGGGGTTAAAACGGCCTAGGCTAGATTATACCCGAGTATATTATGGCCTAGGCCAATTTATACACTGGGGTATATTATGGCCTAGGCCACATTATGCCTCTCTAGGCCAAATCATACCCCCATGATAGTGATAGTGTTGAGCGATATAAACATGAATTCGCTGTGTCCATGATCTCGGCATCTGTTGCCCAGACTCTATCACGAGAGATACCAGAGGTGTTTACATATTCATTGACATATTGATCCAAGTAGTCCTGTAGTTCTTAGTTCCTAACCCTAACCCTATTCCGTGACTTTCGACAACACTTCAATGGAATTTCACGCGTATTCCACTTCACTGGCTTCGACTGCTTCTAAAAATTCTTCAATTAGTCTAATTTAGATTCTTACTTCCATCTATACGCTTTTTAGATATCGATTGAAGTTCGTTGTCGGCTGTTCTCTCTATGGATAATTGCCTTTGAACTTTCACATGGGGTATATTCTGGCCTGGAGGGGTATGGTCTAGTTTAAACCCCCGGGGGTATAGTTTAGCCTATAGGACACTTTATCCCCCCAGGTATACTCTGGCCTGGGCCAAACTATACCCCCCGGGTTTAATCGGGGCAGGGGTTATTTAAGCCTGTTACACCGGGTTTAGTAATGTACATTCTTCATTTAATGGACCATCCAAGGCGGTTTCCTGCTCAATTAAGGATGAGGCAGTGTCCACCTGCTTTGTATGGCCCTGAACCAGGAGTCAGAATTCCACATTTCACTGACAGGAACGGGTCAATCATTATAAGCATATTCATATTTAAAAATATTATCATCCATGTGCTTCGTATTTTCATTCAAATGTATTATCCATCACGACGGTGCATAATACACTTTGCACCACGCTGCTGTACGGTGTTGTATGTGGAGGTCTCTGGCCCAGAACATCAGTGTGCCATGTATTTGTCAGATATAAGGAAACATTTGACAGCGTCTGACAGGAAGCCCTATGGGCTGTGCCGCACCGATTTAGATTCTCGCAAAAAAATTGTCTCGCTCCTTAAGGCTCTGGATCAAAAGTTCAGAAAGCATAGTGATACAAAAATGACGAACAGACAGAATGGTTTCGAGGCCGGGATGTCCGCTGCTGTCACCAATTACTTCCAGCATCTTTCTTGAGAACGTGATCACGCACCGCAACAGCTTGTGGTGGATTTGACAATGCAAGGGCGAATCAAAAAGCCTAAGATTTGCTGATGATATTGACATGCAGGGCTGAATATTAGCATCACGTAGGAGACGAAATGGTCGACAGGCATCATAAATGTGCCATGTATAGACGGAGCAAAGCTGGAGTCAATCACTTCAAGAAACCTAGACGCACGATCCGCACCGATGCAAGATGCTTTTTTTGACTTTTACTTTTCTTTTTACCTCTTACCTGGAAAATCCCTTGAGATGGAATATTTTATTTCGCAAGGGCACTCATGCAGTAAGGTTCCGACTTTCTTTCCACCTGCCAGATGCCACCAAAGGCTTTCTTGAAGTCAACAACACCCGCATTGACGGACAATGGGACATCATATGGAAAACGACAACATGAACGCTCCAGACAAAATGCCCTCGAGGTTGGCTCTCTCTAAAGCTCCCTCCGGTAGAGGACTTTCCGCCAGCAGCGCAGCGATGAGCAAGTGATTGCAGGGCAGGTGCACTTTTATTAATAACTATGATGTTGCGTTGTCGAGTATCTTAGCGTCCATCATGAAAATTGCATCTTGCAAGCAATCGCCGAGGTGCCACAGACAATCTGGCAGCCAGCATCCAGGCAGTGAGCCGGCACAATTACCCAAGCTTTGCCGCCCTCTAAATATTAAGATGTTTTCAGTCAAAGAATGAGTGTTTCTACCTTTACTTTGATCAACAGACCACACCTTGCCCAATGAGAACCCAGACTTGGGTTTTCTGTTGTTCAAAAGAGCCGTCCATAAGCCACAAAGCAGACTAAGTCTCTATTTATAAGTACTCACTGCACATATTAATAGGCTGGTGCCTGGGTGGTGAGATCGCACCACAAAGCCGTGAGTTTATAAATGGCGACGTGTCAAGAGCCACGTTAATTAAGGGGGGGGGGGATATGGACCACAGTGTGAACAACATATCCACACTTTAGGATATTTCAACAGCCCCTTAATGAGTGTTTTGCACACGGTGAGAAAATAGAATAGCCACACCTAAGGTGATAAAAAAAAAACATCAAAACGGATATCCAGGGCTGACAGATCAGCAATCCACCTTGCTGTACATAAACAACTTCTGGGCTGCACCTTCATATATAACCATAAAAATAGTGGTGAGTTTTATAAATCGCGTTGTCGTTCATGCAATTCCAACTCACAATGGCTGAGGAACGAGAGGCAAGCTGGAAGGCAGCCAGGTGGCAAGCCGATGGTGGCGAGCCGATGCCCACAATTGTCTAAGCTCTGCAGTCTTGTAGTAGTAGGTTTTTACCCTTTAAACTGGTACTAAACTGACACCTTTATACAAGGCATCATGTTTGCAATAACCACAACACAAGTAGTCAAAATGCAAACAAAAAGAAACAACTCTGATAATGATAATAATATGCACTGTCCTTGAAGTTGATTGGTCCACACCCGAGACAGCTTTCCTTAGAGCCTAGTCTCCATTGGTGTTGGACCAGATGACACCAAAATGCCTTGTATAAAGGTGTCAGTTTTGTACCAGTTTAAAGGATAAAAACCTACTAATATATTTTGCCACTGGTAAAGGAGGTCTCATAGTGTATCTGCAGTCTTCTATGTATTAAGATGCTCCAGCCAATGTAATGAGTCGGTACACCTCTACTTATATGAACAGGCCACATCCTACCACATCTATGCCCTGGCGATTGGGTTACCTACACCACTCGTTTCATTCCAGCATAGATGCCAGTGTTTCGTGTACTTCTGGATTCTTGGGCAGTCGGAATGTATATGCTTTTTAAGGTTTCCCTAGTTAGTGAACTGCACTATGAACCCGGGTGACCCGAAATTGATTCCCCGTCACGGCCGATGTTAGTGGCGAGCGGTAACTGAGCCCGTGCCGAGTGCTACCTTCACCCAGCCTCATCAACCAGCGTGGTGAAGTTTCGTAAAACAACCATCGTCACCAGCACAGTGTGAGCTTTTCATTCAGCAGTGGATTGATAAGAAGCCGTGAATTGCCATTGTTATTATTGTGGCTGTCGTCTATGTAAATCCGTGTTCTGGCAGCAAATAAAAATAGGCACCCGGTTGTTTGCTGCCCGATTGCATCTGTGTTGCTCTTTGATGTGTTTGTTGTTTCCCACATCTCTAGACCTCTGGTCTTAAACAATCGGCCAATCGCTGTCAACGAGCGACGTAGCTATTGAGTGTGCAGGCAGTGCAATTGCACCCACAGGTTGAAGGGTGCCCAGGCACTGGGCTATGAAGGAGGGGGGGGGGTAGAAGGGGGAGGGGTTAAAAAATGGCTGGTTCCCCCCCCCCCCCCCACTTCATTTCCTCCACTCGGTGCCCATGACATGCCAATAACATGCTTCGCCACTGCTCCCACCACACGCAATGGGATCTGTCTTGCATGTGGCCGGTTTCTGGGAACGCTTGTCCAGCGCGTGTTCGTTTCCCCCGGCAGTTGATTCATCGGCCGCGTGACAGCGTCCCGTTCCGAGGCGCACGATGACGCGACGTCACGTGACGCATCACGTGCGGCGGGCATTGCGTCACAGGACGGCGTCGTCGGCTGGTGACGTCACGGCGCGTAACGAGGTCATCCGTCGCCTTAGCGCCGCGTTTTTGTCGCCAAGTTTTTTTTTGCTTTAAAGCGAGAAACCCTTGGACGAATAAGAATAGGTTTTACCCTTTCTGGCAATCAACACGGGAGGTGTTATGATGTTCAAACACCAAATGGATACCTGTTGCGAGGCATCAAGTCTGCATTAACCGCACGCAATTGTGGCAAAACATGCAAAGAAACGTGCTCTGATCTGACACGCATTGTCTGTGGAAACTGATTGGCCTCCACCAGAGACAGCCTGCTTCATGGCCTCGTCTCATCGCCAATGTTAGACCCGAGAATGCCAAAAGGCGAACAGTACAAAGGCAATGCAAGAATAGCTCGCGTAGAGCCGTCATGTCTATTTGGTGTGTGAACATCTCAACACTTGAAAGCGTAAAACCCTATTCCTATGTTTCATCATTTTTGATGCTGGTCCCAGATGATACCTTTTGATAAAACTGGCCAATTTTCTCTAGGGCACTTTGGCAACAGCTACGCAACTTGAAGCTCAACTTTTGTTCACTATTTGACCATCCCTACCAGGCTCATGGTGCACCCCCCCCCCCACCATCGACGTTACAGACAGACAGACACACCCGATGCATTATCGCGTTCAACCTTCGTTTGTTGGAAAGTGTTTTTTCTGTCAATCCAAAGTGGTATGTTGACGAACAATCGCCGCGTGCGTCCGCAATTCACCTCTTCGTAAGCGACGCTGTTGTAGGTCAGCTCGGCGATCTCTGCCATCAGGGAGCTGGACGGGCCCCAGGGGTCATTGGAGGTCGCTTCGCGCACCTTTATCTCGGCCTCCGAGTAGTTGTTGACAATGTTCTTCACCTGACGCCGCAGAGAGAAGGCCATCTCTCCTGTATCCCGCTGCTGCCGCTGATGCTGATGCAGCTGTCCCCTTCTCTGGCTCTTGGCTCAATTCTGAGAAAAGACGAGAGCGACGCCATCAGGGAAATAGGTTTCGTTAATGTCACCATCATCGCTATCATCCTCATGGCTGTCAACATTTATATCCCCCCCCGCCGTCAATAGCAGTGGCCTACAGTCGCTCAGGAACATGTCACCGAGTATTTGCTGCATTGGGATACTTGGCCAATCCCAAACATGATGATCACTTTGCATGTGGGAGTCTCCGGAGAACACCCGCCGTGCATACGAGGGGCTACAGCACCCAAAGTTCCGCCACCTCCTGCCCACCTTCTGGCCACCTCGCAGCTCGTTGGGCTTTGAGAGTTTGACAAATCTCTACGCGATTTACCAACCCTTGCCTCCAAAGTGCTACATCACAGGCAGGGCGTTCCGTCTCAAGCGGACTCAGCTGATAACGAGCATCACCACTACGTGAAGTTTCCCTCATCAGTCGTTTATATTCATCCGAGTAAAACTGTAGAATGATTTATTCATTCAGCTCTACAAATTAAAGGCAGTAAAACCTAAACTAGATAAATGTCTCCAACGGCCAGCTCTCAATAATTGGCGGAATACATCATTTTGAAGGTCAGTTATCAGAAAAATGTAATTGGACAGCAGAAGTTTATAAGATCCAAAAGTTCATCACGAATAAATAATTAACATCAATGTGACAGGAAGAATGTAGCCGCAGTACCATATGGGGTTAATGAAAAATACTTGTGTTTGTATGATCTTCACCATTAAAGACAATTACACAATTTAAAAAATAATATAATGATGAATAATACCACTTGGAAACGTTTCAAGTAGTTTAATAACGCATTAAATGTGCATTTGGAGATGCGTTTATAACTCTTGCTTACTTTATATCACCAAGCTGGAGATTTGCATTTGCACAATTTTCTGCCTGTGAACAAGTTTTGAACGCATTTAGTTTTGAAAAATATTAGGTGAGGGAGACCGTATTTTGAGAAACCCATTTCAACTTAAAGTGACCCACTCTATTCTCAAAGCTGGGCAGGTGATCGCCGCTCTCACACTTTCAAAAGTGTTGGCATGCGTAATTTTTTTTTATGTATTTATGCATAGAAAAAATAGGCCAAAATTTATCAGGATACAAATTTGCAAGACTGCCTTGATTAGGAAGCTTGGCACAACTGATTAAATAACAACGTTAGTTGTGTGTTCCCTTCTCGAGGCCATGGCTTCAATTATCGTAAGGGCTCTTACGTGAGCAAACAAATATATTCCACGGGGACCTGTCATTTTAGCTGCGTTAATATTCCATGGATGTTGTCGTAGTGGTGGCGGTTGGCAGACTGCACTTGCGATCCCGGTTCGATCTACCAGCGCGACGAGAGAACCAATGGGCAAGTTGATTTACGCTCGTGTTTCACCAAGCGTGGTGTTCTGGCTTTACCGATAACGTGCTGAGCGTTTCATTTACGAAGCTTTCGCCCCGCACTACTGCAGGGCACCTTCAGGATGTTAACTGCCTCGCCTGCTTTACAGGAGACCGCGGGTTCAATCCCGACTCTGATCCCTGCTGTATGTTGGGAGTTTGCGTGTCTCTCTCTATCTCTCTCCCCATGGTAGCATTGATTTTTCTCCGGGTCCTCCGGTTTTTCCCTCCACATTTAAAATCAATATGCGTTTCGAGTAATTGTCTGCTGTAAATGTTCAAATGGGTAAGCCACTTCGTTGAGCTATCATTTGTGGCCAGGTCACTTCTGAAAAAGAACTATACAGCTCAGTGGGCCTTACCTGGTAAAATAAAACACGGTTTAGTAATAGTTTAAATTCCCTCCGCCTCAGTCCACGCAGGAGTATAAATGGGTCCACATCAGCAAGTGTATCGGCAGGTTCTGTTTGGGCAGGTAAAGTGTGGCTTCTCGCACCTCCTTCAGTCTGGCTAGTGTGAAAGAGTAGGCCCAATACAGTACCCCTTCTAGGTGCTTGCTAGAGCTCCCAGGATTTGGAGGCCCTTCTGCCAGCCGTGGAGTGAGTCGTAAATTACAGGGCTGCACTTTAACCTTTACTTAATGCAGCATTTTATGTTTTGGAAGTCTGGATATTTTTTTAAAGAAAATCGGAGATGGAATGATCGAGGTGTGGTTAAGTCACTGCGAATTCTACGCTCAGGACATTTGTTCGTCTAAAAATAATATCCCTCACTGCAATGCGCAATGACAAATCATATGAGCCCCGTGTAATTATGAGGGCCCTGTGTAATTATGTGGCTGCTTGTTGTTGTTCCGTCTTCAAACCGGGCACGCACATAGGCGGCGACACGTCTTGCCTGCCGGGGTAGTTGTGTGCCTTTTGTTGAGCCACATGAGACCCCACGATAGTAGAGAACTGACGTATAACCACCTTGATTTTCACACATTCCACACAACAGCTAATGCAAAAGTACAGCACACTGCCAAACTAAAGCAAGACAATGACTAGGTCATGGCACAACTATTTACTGTATTTTTCATTTTGAAAAAGTGGATTGATGTGCAATGTCCCTGTGATGTGTACATACGTGGGGCATTGGACATGTATGTACATCCCACTGTCAATCCCCTGCTGGATGAGGGCTGTGTGGAAAGTGGGATATCCATATTCTTTGGTTCTTTCGGTAAAGTCACGTAATTAGAAATAAAATAGAACAAATCACGACGTTTCGATCGCAACACAAGCAATCGTCATCAGGAGGGACAATCACAGCAAGAAACAACTACTGAAGAAGGCGAGAGAGCCGGCGAGAGAGCCGCCTTCTTCAGCAGTTGTTTCTTGCTGTAGTTGTCTCACCTGACTACGTGACTTTACCGAAAGAACCAAAGAGTATGGATTAACTGCAGTCACGAAAGCTTCAAATCAAGTGGGGAATTATTTGCCCACGCGTCAACGCTGGTCAGGCTGGGTGCATTCCGGCGGGCAGCATGAGACCTTGGAGCCCAGTCAAGTACAATAGAACAGTCGTGACTGCAGGGATTCATCTTCTTGGTTCTTTTGGTAAAGTCACGTAGAATGGAAATAATAAAGTAATAAAAATAAAACATAATCACCTGAGGACGGCTGCTTGCGCTGTGGCCGAAACGTCGTGAGAATTATTTTATTATATGTAATTTGTATTATTTAATTATTTCCGTCTACGTGACTTTATCGAAAGAACCTAGAAGATACAATAGAACAATTACTCCCCTGTACTGCCCTCTGCTGACAAAAGTAGCCTCCCACCACTAGCAGCTTACGACGCCGGGCTTTGTGGCACGGTGCCACTAGCCAGGCTCAAACCGGCTTAGCTTCCATGCCGGGTGAGCTGGTCGCAAGCGCACGGCACACGCATCGAATGGCGTGTTCAGAATCGATTCTTTTTAACTCGTATGCGTTGCACGCAATGGGTTTTTCGTCATGGGCCGGAGTTTGCGTGGGAAGGGGGGTGGGTGGGGCAATGCCCTCGCCGAACTGGACACCTTTATTAATTCATTTTGAGTCGTTTACAATTAATATTCAAAATAAATAAATTCACCATATGCACCCGCGATTCCTAATGTGAGGTACAAAGCGAACCCCCCCAGCCCGTCCCCACCAATCCCCCAAATGTAGAAGTCGAACTCCGCCTGTGGTTTTCGCGACCCTTGCAGCCACGAGTAGAAGGCGCGTGCTTCTCCACCCACCACTGTCTCATCTCATTTACATCGAATCCCGTCCCTGTGTCGCGACGATTCACGGAATCCTCGACGGCGGATCGTTTCAGAACGCATCCAGTGTTCGCCGCGCTTACAGGGACGGGGGGTAGCGTATTTTGCATGGTGAGTTGTAACACTGCACTGGTGCACACACACCCCATGGCAATTGATATACGCACCGCGACTGTGCCTCCCCTAGGTCATCTCAGGCTTAACTCGCGTCTATTCTACATAGGTCCAGTGGTATATGCTTCACGACGTGAATATTAACACTGGGGGTTTTAACAAACCGCTCGGGCGTGTGTATCTCCCTTCCACACAACGAGCATCACAATTAATTTTATTAAATACGCGCAGTGCTGACCGCAATAGGTGCTCGCTAACAGTGGTCATTGCCCCGGCAGTCAATGTATATGATGTATGGCAATACTGCTACATTTATACTTCATGTTTTATACACAACACAAATCACTGACAGTAACTTTAAATGCATAATGTGCGCAGTGTATTGCTGTATAACTCATTTGCCTTATTTAATTATAAACATCCTCAATATAACCACTTCGTTTGCTATTGAAAAAATGACACATTTGTAATGGTGGCAAACAACGCTCAAATGCAAATTAAAGATTTCTTGTTGTCGCTAAAGTAACATGTTGATTATACACTATATATATAGAATGGCAGAACTCCTAGCATCTTCAGATGTGAATAGTTCTGATTTGCTGCATTCTATAATCCTCAGAATGTATGCAACGTGCACATCATCCTCCTAAGCGGCATTCATGATGCAATGTCACTCACACACACATGCTTAGGCATTACATTGAACCAGTTCTTTCAGGGTCGCTATCTCATTAAAATGTCAGCGCCCGGCACACGACAACCAGTATAGATCTGTCGCTATGGGTACACACACATGCATACACACAAAGACAAAGGTACCCTATGTTTGCCTAACACAAGCTGTTGGGGAAAGTGCTTGCTGATAGAAAGCCCCCTATGAAGGCCGGAACGCCACACCAGTGTGGTGTGGGTGGCTAACACCACGCCCGACCGCCTTTGTCTCCCCTATGCCTGATGTTTCCACACCGCACGAGGTACAGTACTCATTTAAGGACTGAATCGACCTCGGGTGAAGGCCCAGGGCCGGATCAAATATTCGCCGCTGTTATTGTTCGTGAGCCGGAATCGAACTCAGTTCGCGGGGCCCGTCGCTCAGTGCGTCAACCACTACACTACACACACACACCCGCGTAGTAACACACGTGCACACACGCATGTTCCACGCCCCGCATACAGATACAACTGGGCGTACTACGGCAGCCACACAGGCGTCACAGTGTACGCGCGGGTGAGATTGCGTACCCGGTGACGATTGCGGTTGTCCGTGTGAAAGTGGCTCTGCTTTGTCTGATGCGATGACGGACGGACAAACGAGCCCTACCTGCCCCGCTGTCGATGCACAAGCACGAAGCCTACCTAGGCGAGGGACGGTGCTTCTTCCTTGCCTTCGTTCTCGGGGTTCAATGAGGCAGAACCATTCGATTGGCGATTGGTGGGGGGGGGGAGAGGGTGTGTGTGCTGTTAGTGTGTGTCACTGTGTATGTCTGTGCTTATTGCAGTGTGTGGTGTGTGTTGCTGCGTAAATGCATTTAATTACTCGTGTTTGTGCCATGTGTACGTGTTGTGTGTAAGTATTGATGTATGCGTTCCTATGTTGTGCTGTGTGGTGTTTGTGTATAGTATTGTGTGTTATATGTTGCTGTATTTACTGATGTGTACGGTATATGCATTGCATGTGCTGCTGTTGTGTGTGTTGTATTTTGTGGTTGCTAGGCTGTGTGTCTATCTGGCAGGCTATGTGTCGTGTTGTGTTTTTGTTGCTGTGTTTGTGTGGTGTTGTATGTGCGATGATTTAAATGCGTGTCTAATGACAATTCTCGATTCAGCTCTGTACCAACCACAACGTAATGAATACATTAAACAAGTATAACATCGTATAACAATAAATAAATCATACCACATTGTACACATATACAATAATACTCCAGCACACAATGTATTTTACACGTTCAATATTTATTGTATTTGAACCCAAACATTTGAACAGTAACATAACTGTTAATTGCATCGTGTATTTTCCCAACGGAAAAAATGCATGCGTGTGCATATAATCCAGTAGAGTCGTAATATGCTTTCGCCAAGAAACCATTGCCATCGCCACCCCTGCAGGCTGGGACGATACTGGCACAGTCCGATTTAATGCTAACGCAGCAGCTTTGCTGAGCGTGGGTTGTCGTATGGCCTTGTGAAAGGACGGCAGATTGATGTTGGTCTTGGTGCAGATTTGAATACGAGGCATGTTGATGTTTAAAATATATGGGGTCTCTCTGTTTGCTTCGTCCGTGTGCTGCTTGCGTCGAAGAGGGCGGTTCCATGTGCTGTGTCTAATCCGCTACAGTAATGACAGACTGTCGTAGATTACTGCCGATGTTCAGTGTGTAAGCAAATGTCTTTAGGGCCGAGGCGACAGCTCCATTGATCCAGAGGGCTCATTGGGCTGCTGGATGCTAATATTATTCACTGTATTTGACCAGAATACGCCCGTGTCGCTTTATTATTTTAACACACGGCTGTCCGTCAACACAACCGTATACAGATCCTGTAGCATTGAAACAGTGGCTGGCATTACATGATGCAGAATTATAGATTGCCATCATTATATTACGAACATAACACCCCAGGTCTCTTTTTTTATTTGAATACAAGGCATGTGTATCATCTCAATGTGCTGTCACTTGGCCAAATAAATACGATAAAGTAGGAATAAACCTGCAGATTTAAATCAGGTAGAACTGGTGTACGTTGCCTATCGCTTGCGTATTGAAAATAACATTTGCTATAGTATGATCGAAGCTGTTACTGTGTTATCATCATTGTGAATTCTGTTATTCAAGGCTCAAATTAGAAGCCACAAAATTGCCCGGCCTGCTACTGTATCGGGCTACGCGCGTCGCCTTTCAACAGCGACCCAGCCATGCATCATTCATGAGAGGACGCTGTCCCTGGTGCTGAAACGGGGTGCCCTGGGGTCGAAGCGGTTCGCGTCCACACCAGCCGACGACTCACGATTCACTGCAATTCAACTAAAGCATCGCCTCCGAATGTTTAACATTGTGAATGTAACTGCCTCGACTTGCTGCTGGTCTCGTGAATCGTCTTTACATACTTTACGTACTGTATGTTAAAATAAAAACAAATGTCCAGACATTCTCAATCCACTATGCCATATCCGTCGGTCATGGTTTTTTATTTAATTTGCCACTGATGATAGCCGTGGCCGGGAATCGAACTCGGGACAACGGATGCCTGCCGCAGCACGCGAACTGCACCCCGCACATACACTGCATGGATTGTAAAACACAGCATCTCACACGATTCGGCGTATTACCGTGCGCTTGATGGTCGATAGGGATCGGTGCATTCTTGAGCCGCTTATTTGTGGTACTGCACCAACCGCTATTCATCGAAAGCAGTCGAGTCACGATTCGCTTTCGTGGTTAGACTTGTCACAATTACGGCTTACGATCCGATTCAAGACTTCATTTTTTTTGTCTCTCTACGTGACACCGTTTGTACCGAAACGTGTCTCGTTCGGCATTGTCTGCACTGTCTCGTTTGCGTCGTCCGTCTCGCTGGGAGTGTCTCCGTCGGTACCATCTTGTCAGGACTGTCTCATCTGTACGTTCTCGTTTGTATTGCATGGCGCGTCTTTTTTTGTTTCGGCTGCGCCATCTCTTCTTCTCGTCTGTACTGTTTCTCATCGATACCGTCTGTGCTGTCTCGTCTCCACGTCTGCCTCGATCAGCCACGTTCCTTAACATAACAGTCGTAGCGGAATGCTTACACACAGCGAGACGATCCGTGAATGTATCGTGAGCGTTTACATGGATTAAGTTCAGGGGTCGGCAACCAACATAACAAGAAGAGCCATTTGTTTTTTCGAATTCGTGACAAAATTCAATATTCGAGAGCCGCAATGCACGTGAATAAATATAAACATTATGTCGCGAGGCAGTCCGTACATAAATTTCGATTTAAAGCTTTCGTGACTGCAGGAATCCATCTTCTTGGTTCTTTCGGTAAAGTCACGTAGAAGGGAAGTAATAAAATAATAAAAATAAAACATAATAAAATAAAATAATTCTCACGACGTTTCGGCCACAACGCAAGCAGCCGTCTTCAGGTGAAGAATGAGACACTACCAAGCTAGGAGCTTATATATACGCTGCGTTGGAGGTGCAAGAGCGCCTTAACAAAAAGAATGTGCATATGAAGAGGAATTTAGCATATTCATGGAAAATGCGTAGGAGGTGGGTGGGGGGGGGGTTTCATAGTCATATTATGCCCATCCATTATGCAGGATCAACAGCACCAAGGGGGGGTGCAGTAGCATTAACAAAGGAAAAGAATGTTAATAGTATGTAGCTGCAGTTACTAAACAACAACGTAGAAAACTAAAGTATAAACTACATAAAAAACTATAGTATAAACTGCATAGCACCATCAGTATACTTACTATAATCTACAATAAGCTGAGTTACTAACAGCAAGTAATACATTACAATTCTACGTCGTAAAAAATTATATAATATGCTTCCATCTAAACTTTATTCTCTTACATCACACGAGCATACACCGTACTATATACTGCCATAGATAAACCCAACATTAAATTATATACTGTATTGCTATAAACCACCTTATACATTTTAATATAACACTATGTATTATTCTACTCACCCTAATGTGTATCACACTGCTATATGTTTACTATACAATTACGATACTATATATTAATTTGTACATTGTATTAAGCATATAAATGTTATACTATTTGTTATTATACGCTGTACCATTGACCGTACATAGTCGCATGCGGCGGCGGAGCCGCGGGTTGCAGAAGTTCACGTTTGGATCGTTTGGTTCATTTGGTTCGAGCGGCCGCCCTGATTAATACTGCGGGTGTGTAAATCCATAAACAAAAGCAAAAAACGCCGCATGCTTCACAGCGCCAAATTGAAAGAAAGCAACGCCCTTAAATTACTCCGGCGCAACATGCGGTACATCCCAATTAAACCATCGCTCATTGAAAAACCTGATGGGATCACTCCTGAAAAAGCGTCACAAGACTCAATTCACCTTTGCTGGGTAAACAAGCTTAGTAATAATAATAATGCGAATATAGCTTTGAACAAATGAAACTCTTCCAGGGTCACTACTGAACTTGTCCTTCCCTCGCACCTCCGATTAGCGTGGTTGACTACGTACGGTGCGAAATAAGTTCACCATACGTACGTACGAACTGTAAACGATGCCTGTCTGTGGTGCTGCCCCAGGGGTCACCCGTGGCACAAAGGTGACCCGGCTCTGTCTCTGCCCAAATGCCCCTTGGGCGGCGCTCATGTCTGTTGCCAGGAGCCAGTGGTGAGTATCCAGTGGTGAGTACCCAGTGGTGAGTATCCAGTGGTGAGTATCCAGTGGTGAGTATTTAGTGGTGAGTATCCAGTGGTGAGTATCCAGTGGTGAGTATCCAGTGGTGAGTACCCAGTGGTGAGTATCCAGTGGTGAGTACCCAGTGGTGAGTACCCAGTGGTGAGTATCCAGTGGTGAGTATCCAGTGGTGAGTATCCAGTGGTGAGTACCCAGTGATGAGTACCCAGTGGTGAGTATCCAGTGGTGAGTACCCAGTGGTGAGTATCCAGTGGTGAGTATCCAGTGGTGAGTACCCAGTGATGAGTACCCAGTGGTGAGTATCCAGTGGTGAGTATCCAGTGGTGAGTATCCAGTGGTGAGTATCCAGTGATGAGTATCAGTGGTGGTACCAGTGGTGAGTATCCAGTGGTGAGTATCCAGTGGATGAGTATCCAGTGGTGAGTATCAGTGGTGAGTATCCAGTGGTGAGTATCCAGTGGTGAGTATCCAGTGGTGAGTATCCAGTGGTGAGTATCCAGTGGTGAGTATCCAGTGGTGAGTATCCAGTGGTGAGTATCCAGTGATGAGTATCCAGTGGTGAGTATCCAGTGGTGAGTATCCAGTGATGAGTATCCAGTGGTGAGTACCGGTACCAGTGGTGAGTATCCCAGTGGTGAGTATCCAGTGGTGAGTATCCAGTGGTGAGTATCCAGTGGTGAGTATCCAGTGATGAGTATCCAGTGGTGAGTACCCAGTGATGAGTATCCAGTGGTGAGTATCCCAGTGATGAGTATCCAGTGGTGAGTATCCAGTGGTGAGTATCCAGTGATGAGTATCCAGTGATGAGTATCCAGTGATGAGTATCCAGTGGTGAGTATCCCAGTGGTGAGTATCCAGTGATGAGTATCCAGTGATGAGTATCCAGTGGTGAGTATCCAGTGGTGAGTACCCAGTGATGAGTATCCAGTGGTGAGTACCCAGTGATGAGTATCCAGTGGTGAGTACCCAGTGATGAGTATCCAGTGATGAGTA